CCTATCCCCTGTGTGCCTGCCTCCCACGACTATATATAAATAAAATAATTATATATATATATATATTATATTAAAAGGATAAATGTATAACCCCAAAATAAGCTTTGATTAAAGCAATTCTATAATAATATAAACTTAAGGGTTAATTGTATTTATTAATCCTTTTGAAATGTGTTTTTCTTTTATTTATTTCAATAAAAATAAATATTTCTTTTTTTTAATTAATTGTCTATGCAAAAACGTAACAGATATATAAATAGGCGACCTAGTTGCTTGTCTCAGCACATTATTCTGAATAATTTGTAATATTCTTAAACTATTTATGTTAATATTAGACTAGGCCATTCCAACATAATGTACTAAAGATCCAATATATACTTTAGAAATTGTAAGTAATGTACGACTTGTACAACCGTTTCGATTATGTACAATTATTTTCAGCATGTTTAATCTAACCCAACATTATTTAACGAAATATTCAATATGGCTTTTTCAGTTTAATGTTCTATCGTAAAATACACATAAATATTTAACATTATTTACTTTAATAAATTCATTGTCGTATATTTTAAGTTTAACATTTGCTCTATCTCAATTTTTTTTGAAATGTCACTTTTACATAGAACATTATAACTTTAGTTTTATATGAGATAAGGTACACTCTCCATAAATTATACCATAATTTCAATTTCACTGGAGCCACTTGTAAATTTTTATTTATAGCTGGAGTAGAATAAATCGTTAACCAGCTTGTGATATCATCGGCATATTGGGCTATATTTATATAGCTATGCGAACTTATTGGACATGGAATATCATTTCTATACATACAGAATAATAATGGACTTAACATTGTACGTTGTGGTACTCTTACCTTAAGAATAAAAACTTCAGATTCAATATATTTTACATTAATATTATTTAATTATTTATGCACTTAATTACAACAAAGTAATTTATAACTTAGTCCATTAAGCCAAATCTTATCAAATGCTTTTTCCACATCCAATAAGACAGCTTCACTAGTACTTTTTTCGGTTAAAGCCATCCACCACAGATGCTGTATGTAACCAGTTGCTCTGATATTGGTGGTTGTTTCTTTAAACAGGTTTGATAGTTACTTAACATGTCGTTCTTCTTTTAAAAATTCCAGTAACTTGTTATTTTTAATTATTTCAAATATTTTAAATAAACAACTAGTTAGACTTATGAGTCTGTAATTATATGGATCACTTTTCTCTTAGGTTTTTGGAATCATGATTATTTGACTTCTTTTGAATACATGGTAATGTACCCCAACTTAAATGATAAATTTAGTAAACTTGTTAATTTGCTAATAACTCCTTCATTACATTCTTTAACATGTTATATTGTATTCCATTATAGCCAGGATTTATGTTTTTATTCATAGATTTTATTGCTTTAATAAACTCATTAACACTAATGTATTTACAAATAAAATTGAATGGATTATTATATCTATCACTATCAGTAGTATTCTTAACATTAATAGAAAAATTTCATTTAATTTTTCTTCATTTATAATTCCATCATTTACATACCTTACCATTTAGTGTTAAAATTACTTCTTACATTATATTTAGTTATATTATACATTAAATCTTTAAACATTTTAACTTTAATTTTATCAGTTTTAGCTACTACATCATTAAAACTTAAATTTGGATAGCTAAATGTATCATTATTATTATTATCTTTATTTATGAAATGTTTACTCATTTTCCAAAAAATAGCTGGATTTTTTCATAATCCAAATCTCTTCAGAAAATATCAAAATGCTTATTTTTTGTCCTTTAATTAACTGTTTTACAATATTGTGTGGCTTATTAAAGTGTTTTAAAATAATTACTCTCCCCCCTCACCACAATATATAATTTCCTTAACTTCCTTTTAAACTTAATAGCACATTTAATTTTTTTGTGAAATTCTAGGTACATTTCTTACAAACATATTTAGGAATACTTACTTCAATGGTATTATCAAAACTAGAATGTATAACATGAACATATTGATATATTTCGTTAGTATTTTCTATAGTACCAAAGTGTAATCCTTTAGATTTTCTACTAAAATACTATTGAATTTATCCCAATGTGGATTATAAAATTATATTTCAATTTTTTTATTATTTGTATTTAATTTTTTTCTTCTCCATATAATTTAATGTAAATACCTATTCGTAAAATATCACTATTTATATCCTCGCCAACATGAAAATGTTCTGTGTGTGTTTATAGTATTTCTTAGTTGTAATCACAATCTAGTATATCAGATTCTTCCATTATGTTACTTGTATGAGTACATGTTTCATCATTAAGTAAAATTAAGTCTTAATCATCTAATATATCCATTAAATTAATTCCATTACTATTTGTTTTTCCAATCCCAGGCTACATCTTTACTGTATAAATCTCCATTGATTATTTTTGTTTTATAAATCTAGTATTTTCTAAAATATATCTCCAATAGTACTTTTTTATACAATTTTTACAAATATCTACTAGCAAAACTTGTATATTAAATATTTATTTTCCATAACTAAATTTACCAACCCTAAATTATGCTTTCGCTCTTATCTATCTTTCCTATAATTTATAAAATTATTAGCTTTAAAAATTTCACAAATACATACAACATGACTACTACTTTTTTTAATGAAAAGACAACTCCCATTTTTCAGATAAATCCACTTGAATATTTATAGATACAATACCAAACCTGTCCCTGTTCATTTATTTTAATAATTGTTGCCGAATCCTGATTATTTACATTTTATGCTAGGATAATATCACTTCTTGTAATTTTAGGTTCTTTGATTTTAATAAACACATCAGTTAAAATCGAGATTATATCCAATAAAATCTCATGTTTTTGGTCAGTTATATTCTCATTTAACAGGGTTTGAGTTACTGCTTCTTTAAAGTTATCTTTGGTAGCCACAACAAAAGTTCTGGAGTATTTATATTTTACCTCTTCTTTATTATATTTTACACAACTTAGAGCTTCATGATGACCCTTTCCATAATTTGCACATTTAGTATTATATCTTTCTCTGATGCACTCTTTAAATTCATGGCTTCCAGCACAACTTACACATGTTGCGGTATTCAGGTAGTTTCCTGTCACGTGTCCAAATTTTTGGCACTTGAAACATTGTATCATGGGCGAGGAGGTCTTGTGTTCTTCAATTTTGAAATGTAGTTATGCGATATGTAAACCATTTTCAATTTAATTACTTACATTTTCCTCGCTTGTCAAGAAACTTTTACTGATGTTGTTTCCTCGCCTGTTTTTCTGCACATTATTATTTCCGCTTTATTACTTTCTAAACCTGGACTCTTTAGTTACTCCATGATGTAATGAGGCTGTATCGTGTAATTTACACCTTTGGCAACTATTATTTCTTTGCCATTGCATTCTATAGGATAATCTTACTGTAATATTGGCTTTAAGACAAATTTCATTTGGCCATTTTTCCAACAACTTGACGAAAGTTTTCCTCTTCTGTTCTAATAAAAAATATCGCCATTTTTTTAGTGTTTTGATAACTTTGAATTTTAAACAGTGAAACAATTTTTAATATCTTTAGCCACGCAAATATCGCAGTTTTTTATGTACGTTTACTACAGTTATTGGAGACAGATTTAAATTTATGTTTTGTCTTCTTCGTTCGATTCCACTTTCAGTTTCATTGGTTTCTTCAGTTTTCCTTTAGTTAAGTGGCTATCATCTAAGCTTTAGTCTTCTTTTTCTAAAAGCAGCCCAACCTTCATCTCTTGTGTCATTATATATTATATTTGCAAAGTTGTACTGTTTTTTCCTTCAACTTCCATTTTATCTTCTTTGTCTACATCCTAATTTCTATTCCTCTTACCTATTCCTATTCCTCATATTTTAGCACCTCTTGTTTGTTCTTCAAAAGTTCAATATCTGCCTTAGTTAAAGTCAAAAGTTAACTCTATAAACAATTAGGGTTAGCTTAAATAAAATCAACTTGACTTAGCCAAAGTTTATTGTTTAACTTTCTTAAACTTATGTCTTTTTAATTAAGAAAGTCCTTTTCCACACATATATAATAGATTGAAACTAAATTACCACTACTCACAATAGTTTCTTTATATTCCAGGTTCAACTAAGTATTATAACACAAGAGTTATGAAAAACACGTCTGTACACAGATACACAACTTTAACACCTTTTTAAATAACGCTCTCATTTCCAGCCGTGTTGCAACGGAAGTAAGACACAGTTACAACAGTACATTGATTTCACTCTTTATATATACCACTTATTCAGTTACATCACCATTCCCAGTTTACCCACGAATAAGAAAGGTTAACCTTTCAAAAGCGCCCGTGACATAGGGTTTTTAATGTTTTATATTAATATTTCTTGAATCTACGTTTTTGTTTGTGTGTTTTTATGTTGTTTTTTTACATCATGAATTTATTTACGTTGATATATTTTCAGCCAGTGAGCACTGTTCTGGGAATTTTGTTCGTTACAGATCTGGCAATATGTGTTATCAATGTAAGTATTTTTATTTTATACACAGTTCGGATACACAATTTTTATCAAACTGAAAGACGAACTCGCCTTTTAGTCTATTTGCACATTCGGTCTCACATTTGCTGCGCTTGGTACTTGCCTACATAATAATAAATTGAATTTTAACATTTGGTAAGCATGTAAGCAAAGTGTTTTATTGATAAACAAATAAATAAACTACCTACGCCTAAAACAGGATTTAATATAGCCAAGGAAATCAACCAAGTGCAAACATATTATTATTGACGAAAACCACTATTTTATTGCGTTTATAGTTAAAAATCATCATTACCTAAATGCAATTTTATGTTTATAGCAAAATATAGAATGTTTTCTTTAAATAAATGTGACCTTATAAATGTTTTCGGTACTTATTTTATATTAAAGTATTATAACATCACCTTTGTAAAATTATAATTACCGCAAAATATTACCAAATGAATTTTCAAATGTAGTCAGTTTACCTAATATTTTTTATTTCATTATGCTAGAGAGTTGTTATGGTGACTTATATATGCATGTGACTAATGTACAAGCATTCCTAATGGACATCCTCTTCCGTTCTAACATTTATTTCTCTAAAACATGATTATTATGTTAATATATTTTTACTATTGATGGTATATGTAGGTTTGTTCGGAGGAAATGGGAATTCAAGTGATTCAAATATTTTATTACATAGGATTTTACTCCAAATCTGTATATTTCTGACTTAGACAGTCCTGTCTGGTCTATTGTTATTCTGTTTTGTAGTTTCCATGAATATATAAAAGAGCAACATTGAATATTCTTTTAGTATCCGAGGAGAGTGTTTTCCGAATGTTCATTTCAGTAAATCAAATGTACAGAATGCTATTGGTGCAGTATTAGAAGACTCCTCAGAAATGTCTGAAAATTCTGTGACAGTGACGTCTGCACTGTTTTGTATATGCTGTGGAATTTGAGGCTTAAAAGAGAAGAGCGATTTATTGCTTTGCTTCAGAGAATTTTTAGTATTTGTGGCTTGCCTGTAGCAATCATAAATCTTATCCATAGAATTGGGTCTCAAAAATCTCTTCTTTATGGTAGAAATAATTTGGACTTTTTTGACGCCCTTCTTAGAATTTTATTTTTCTTCCTTGCGAAGGCATTAGCTTTTCACAAAACTTAATAAGCTATTTCTACTTTTGAATTTTACAAAACTTGTAGTATTCAGTGGATAGACACTTTTTTTGGGAAGCTTTTGATATTTACTCTCTTTTTAACGATATTTTAAACTTAAAGTCTCATCAACTTTGTATTTGCAGTTTGTGAAATAAATCTTTTAATTTATAGTTTTTCTTTCAAAAAAATGAGTAAAAACTGCTTGCAATCAACATAACTTTCAGTAACTTCTCTTTCCCTTCATTCTAGTGAACACGCACAATTCCAAGACTTTCCGAGACTTAAATTGTGTTAACGAATATAAATAACTTTCTGTAGAAGGTATATCAACGATCATAAAATATGCATAGACTGTATAGCATCTGTCACCATAATATTTACACGTTCATAGTCCCTAAACATCTTCATTTTAAATGCGCTACTGCATATTGTAAAATTATATTTTGTGTCTGTAAGGAGTAATGACCGTGAATTGAAATATAAGTGCTAGTTCTGAATGTAATTATACTTCTATGTCTTCTAGAATTGTTTATCAAGCATGTAAAACGAAACCAAAACAAAATATTATGTGTTACCATAAAACAACTTCTTTAAATAATGTCTTACTGCTCTTTACCTGTACAGTATCATTAATATAAATACATATATTGATTAGTATATCTTATTATTCTAGTATTTTTAGTGTTTAGTATATCTAAAAAACATTCTTTCAAAAGCAATTTAGTTTTAGACATCCTTTGAACTTTAATTTCTAAAAACATTTTAATAGTCGTCACATTTTGAATCCGATTTCAGAGAGAAGTGAGCCTTGACTCCACTAGTTTCTGTACCATTTACACAATTCTTATCTTTCACTCCACCCCCCCCCCCCTAGTGGCACAGCAGTATGTCGGTGGACTTACAACATTATAAATCGGGTTTCGATACCCGTGGTAGGTAGAGCACAGATAGCCCATTGTATATATTTATGCTTATCTTCAAACAAACAAATCACTCCATTTTTCTCATCAACGAATGAAATGAAGTATATGAATAAAAAGGCGTTGCCCTTTGAACAGGCATTGTTGACAAACATTTCTATTTATTATTCTTTAGCAGCTTATCCAATGGATGTTTCTCTTAAATCAATGACATTTTAACTAATCTGCGCAATATTTTTATAAAGTTAAATTTAAAATGACTGCTTATATATATATATATGTGTGTGTGTGTGTGTGTGTGTGTGTTTTACAACTATGAGAAACAAAACCCGATAATAAATCTATACATGTTTGTCCTATCATCAGCCGTCTTGGAATAGGATTACAGCGTATAGCAATTAATTTCCTAAGGAACCTGAACTATCCAAAACACATACATGTGCAAATTCTATTTTAACATTTATTAAAGAAACATAGAACAGTTCACGTTGAAGGTATATACGTGATTTGCATTTCGGATAACCATGGTTGTTGATCAACCAACACGTGCAGCATATGCTCAAACGTTCAAGCGTTCAGTCATCTTACTAAGCTAAGCAACTTCTATCTGAGAAGTAAACTCTACTCAGGATTTTATTGTATTTGAAAAAAAATATTGTACTTACGTTTGTTTCATAAAATAAAAATCAAATACAATCCTTAAACCCTTCTACAAGGTAAAAAGAACAAAACAACATTATATAATTCGCCAAGTCATTCAAATTGTTCTTTTATTAAATTAACATCTATTTCTTAACTTTGGATCAAAATTATTTATAAATTCAAGTTCTGGTCATTAGGCTGAAAATATTCTATACATCACGAACATATCTCCTAATACTTTCTTGAATATTTTTGAAAAAAAAGTACATAGTTCCCCATCCACACATACATGTTTATAGCATGTTGTTGGACATACGAAGTATATTCTTGAAACTTAATTTAGTATGAAGAAAATAAGAGTGATCTTCTGCACGTCTTGACAATAAACTAAAAAATCCAATAAGATGTAGTCACGTGGAAAAGGTAGAGTAGAATTGTACAGGACATGATCTATGCTTATATGGTTGGTGAGATGTCGATATAAATATCGAATAACGTGTGTCTAACAGAACAATACGCGATTTTCATATCTCAATGTATTGTATTTCATACCTAGCATCCCTTTTTTTTCCTGTTTAGGATCAATGTGTACCTCGTGTAAACATAAGACTAATAGAATTTCTTTTCGAGACATTCATCTTATGGCATTTTGTGAGAAACATAATCACAAACACTCTAAATGATCATCAGGTTACTGAAATGAGTTGTTTATAAGCCACTTTATCTTACCTTACGTACTTTTTCTGGACATAACAAGACACGGAATTCTTAATATTTTCAAAAATGGTTATTCACTCTAAAAATAGTTTTAAGCTAATTAATGCTATTCAACAATAAAGTAACCACATATGTTTGTTAAGCTTCGGGGAGGGTGGTAGAGTGAAAGAGAATCGATTTTTTCTTACAGTTGTCAGGCGCGGTCTTCTTTTGTGGATGATTTTCCAATCCTGAGCTTCTTGCAAATCCATTAAATTGTGAATTCAATGCAAAAATAAATGTTAATATTCGCCATACAATTGTAATGTGGTCAAATTCGTTTAGTGTTTAATAACTTGAAGAAGACGTGGCTGATTATTCATTCTAATAAAGTATAAATAAAATTCATTTATACTGTTCAATTTCAGTGAGACTATGTCTCAAAGAGACATGTTGTAACCTTCAAAAAATTTAAAATCACTGGAAATGCCAGACTTAAAATGTCCTTCTGCTGAACAAATAGCCAAGTTTAACTAGACATAAACAAGGACGCGGAATTAAACCAGTGATCAGAAACTCAGCTAATAAGAATCTGAAATAGAAAATAGAATTTAAAAGATATATTATTTTCTAGTCTTTCTTGGGAAAACGCTTAAACATGCAGTAATAAACTTTAAGTTACAAGAGGGTAATAAGGTATTATGAAATAGAAAAGCCAAGTCAGTAAATAATTCCAGCATGTTGTCTGAAATATGATGAAAACGCTGCTGCTCTTTTAATATTTTGCTCAAGTTGAGCATTATAACTGACACAGAGGATATATCCAAAATTTTCATTATTTGTTTACAAATAGCTGTATTTTCGTAAAGTGCCAAAAATTTCTAAATACATTAAGAGATGACGTATTTAGGTTTGTTTGTTTTGAATTTCTCGCAAAGCTACACGAAGGCTATTTGCGCTAGCTGTCCTTAAATTAGCAATGTAAGGCAGCTATTCCTCACAACCCACCGTCAACTCTTAGGCTACTATTTTACCAACGAATAGTTGAATTGACTATAAGACCCCCACGGCTGAAAGTGCGAGCATAGTTGGTGAGACGGGGATTCGAACCCGCGACCCACAGATTGTGACTCGAGCGCCATAACCATCTGGCCATGCCGGGTCACGAATTTAGGTAAACTGTAAATTAAAGTTTCTTTCACATGAATCAAACCGGCCATTAAAGTTTCTTTCACATGAATCAAACTGGCCATTAAAGTTTCTTTCACATGAATCAAACTGGCCATTAAAGTTTCTTTCACATGAATCAAACTGGCCATTAAAGTTTCTTTCACATGAATCAAACTGGCCATTAAAGTTTCTTTCACATGAATCAAACTGGCCAAAGGAGGCCATTTTAGATTTAGAACACGCAAAAAACAACCGAAAAAAGAAGATACGAAATAGTAGTAATATTTATTATGGAATTACATATAACATATTTAAGCGTATTAGTTTCTTATTGCTATTACCCTGTTTATAATTTTGCTTTTCTTAATTGGCATACATATTTTTATAAATATTTACACATAACATTTTGTTTTTAAAGTTATGTACATATAATGCATCCAAAATTCTATATAATGTTATTTTTTCAAAACTAGGAGATCGTATTTATCTTGATTGTAAATGCATAAAACTTTATTATGCACACTAAAAAAAAACTTGATAACTTGTTGCTCAATGAGTTTTAGTGTAGAGCAACTATTGTGAACTATAAAGCTTATGAATCTTATTGCCCCCACCCCCACCCCCAGTAGCACAGCGGGATGTCTGCGGAGTTAGAACGCTAGAGACCCGTGGTGGGAAGAGAACAGATAGCTTTGTGTGCAGCTTTGTGCTTAACTACAAAGAAACATAGCCGAGAAATACGGCACAAACTCAACAGGCGTTGTGTGCCTACAATACATCAGAATTAAAAATTATTCCATTATTTAATATAGCTACTTTAATACCATTCTTACTAGAAGTATGAAATGACATGAGACAGTAATTTATAAAGATTGAAATGCATAGATTTATTAGATGGGTACCCGTGGTGTTAGTGAGAAAGTTTCGACAATTTTTACTATCAAAATGACTTGAATGTAGATTAATATACTAACTAGTGTAATACACATGTCAATTATGTCCAAATGTACAATGCACTTCAAAGAATTAAAAACTATATGAACCAAGTTTATTAACAGTGATTTGGTTGTAACTCATTAAATTCTACTGGCGTGTGGAGTTTTAAGTGATTTTATCAAAAACAAATGACACCAAAAATAGCGGGTTTGCGGGTTCGAATCCCCATCCCACCAAATATAATGTGACGGTCAACTCCACTATTCGTTGGTAAAAGAGTAACCCAAGAGTTGGCGGTAGATGGTGGTAACTAGCTGCCTTCTCTTTAGTCTTCAATGCTAAATTAGTGACGACTAGCGCAGATAGCCCTCGTATAGCTTTGCGCGAAATTCAAAACAAACAAACATTCTTTTCTAATATTGAAGTGAGTGAGATTTCAATAACGTCAGTACCAACTAGGATCTTTTATTTTAGCGCAAAGCTACGTAGGCTATCTGCGCTCTGTCCACCATAGGATTTAGGACATGAGCTCCAATTTTGTCTCGAACGCACGTAAAATCCAAAGTTATAAAGAGGCTTTATGTTAAGAATCGGACAGTCTATAAATATGCGTATAGCTAGAGAAAATAAACACAGAGTGTTCTTCTGGCTGTAATAAGGCGATTTAAATATACTTACAAATCAAATAATACAAGCAATAATATTGTATTCAATCTGTCCAAAAAAAAACGCCATTCCGCTGTAAAAGCTTTCCATAATCCATATGGTATACAAGAAAAGCAAACTGTCTTTCAACAACCCAGTCACACAGAAATCCATACAGTATGTATTCGCGCAGAATAGCATGAACACCTATTTCATTCTGTAGATGCTTGAGGTATGCAACGGTTGATCGTATGTGCCTGAAAGAAACTTATGTTTACGTGACGTGTGTCGCTTTTCTAAACAGAGATCCTTCTTGATTATGTTTACCATTGCCTAGGCCACATGATCAGCTTTTGATACGGATTTTTGTGTTTGTGGATTCCCACTTATTACAAAACGCCGCATATCGACTGTGTTTGTCACGTGACTTAGTGATTTGGATATTCAAATCGTTTAAACATAACGTAATAAACTTTCTGTATAATATATAACATATTTGCTACAATGTTCTCAGATAAATATAGGATGCACTTGTAAAACTATACCATTTGAACAAATGTTAAAACAAGGCGCAGCATTAAAAAGAAACAATTATGGTCAATTGGATTATTACCATAACCTTTACAATTTTTAGCAGGAAATATCGTTGATGTCGTTTACGATGTTCAAATTATATTTATTTGTCTACAGGTCTATTGTGTACTATGTGCGATCTCACAATATCAGGAATATTTGGAAGGACGAGGAGGAGGAAGACAACACGGCCAATTTCAAGTAAGATATATATATATATATATATAAACCAAAACTGTGTTTTGGTGAAATAGAACGCGTTATTGTAATTTCCACATTCCAGTGACAAATGCAATTAAAGTATTTTCGTATAAGTATACCTTACGTCATCGTAATACACAAATAATGTTAATTCTAGTTTTAATTTTCTTTCTTTGAACAGTGCGAGTCAAGCACTTTAACCACCAGACCTTTATCGAACACAGTAATTTAATTAAGTTACCCTACTGGCATCCATTTCATTTATATATTGGTTGTTTGGTGCGCCTTTGTTTTTGTCGTTCTTTTTAAAGAATTACTTATGTATATGGTTCCATATTAGAGAATGTATATATATCATTTTTGTAAAGAGAAAAAAATATTTTAATCCTGATATATTGTTTTACTTAGTCAGTTCCTGTTGTTCGATTCGACCGAGAAGGTAGTTCACCATGTTCCAAACTTACTGTTCCAAGACTCGCCGTGAATGGAAAACTTTCTCCTTGTTTTCTGGAAGTTCCCTCACCTAGTGCATCTTGTAGCACTCCCTCTCGATCACCCATGTCAACTGAGCTCAGTTCTTATGTTGAAGAACAAACGATTAACGACATCCCACGACTCAATATCAACGGTCTCGGTTCTATCTCGATAAAAAACAGTCTTCAAGTCAAAGGTGAAATCGCCCCAGTAATTAAAGTTATTGTGACGGAGCAAGCTGAGCCATCTAGTGACAGCAATATGAAATCCAGAGAATCTGAAAATGGTTGTGAGAATGAATTGCCGAACAGTTGTTCGAGAACCAGAACTTCCCCAGTGGGGAATCTTACATAAAATTTACGTTCTAACAGTATAAGTGAGAAAATAAGTGGCTATCATTAAAGAGAAAGTTAAATAATCTTTGAGTAAATCTTTGAGTCTGAAATACCTGTTACATAATATATTACCCTATTACTCAAGGATGCTATTAATTACATTTTGAGAACGTGAAATTATCAATTGTAACAAAAAATGTATTTCAACCTCTTATTATAGAGGTTCTTTTCTCAGAAAATTGTGTATAGTAACAATAATTTCTTAACATGTTCGTCAAATAGGCATGTTAATTGAAAGGAAATATTTTAAATTTTCCTATAGTAAGGAATCTAAAAAAGCCAAAAAAACAACATATTGATAACAAGTACAATTTTCGGGAATGAGATTTTACAAGTATAAATAAATTTAGTTTTAAATAAACTTATCAAACAATAATTATACTAAAGAAATATGGTCTTATTAAAAAAATATCAAAAAATTTAGTTTAAACAATAAATGGTGATTATTTTAACGTTGTAGAAATTCCTTTTTTTTCCTTTTCCATAATTCCACAAGATTTTAATCAACAGTTTAGTGCAATCAGTGCTAACTTTAATATTGTAAATTGCCTTAGTTTCCAATCTATAGGTTAATTGGATAAATTAAGACATCATGTAAAGTGAAAACTTTACTGAAATCTTTGAGTTTCCCTCGTATAATGTAAAATGATAGTAAAATTATAGTTCGTTTTTTTTTTATATTGTTCTTAAAGTAATTATTTACCTTGTTAAGAACTTCAAAACCGTTCATTATCCATTATTTAATTAACGATTTTTATACGTGTTGTTTAAAACAAAAAATATCTCGTCTGTGTTATTTTGGAAATATTAATACATATTTATATTTCATGGAATTCTCTACGCCAGGTGGCACTGCCGTAACTCGTCAAATGGGAAAAAAAGAAAGCGAAATTGCTTCTTACGTTGCTAAATAAAATAGAAAGTCGGTAAAATGTGAATTTTATACAGCTAATAATTATATCTCAAGAGACATGGTAAGTCTTTGGCTTTGGCTTATGATGTTAATAAGAGAAATGTAAGTTAAAAAATGTTGTATTTTCTCTTTCAGCTATGTAAAATATTTTTGAGAGATGTTGTGTACAAAATAAGTATTATTAAATTACATGAATTAGCTATTTCAATAGTTATGGTTAAAAATAAGGCCTTCAGAAAACACGTATGTTAGTTTAAATTGAGAGAATCGGGTATGACTGCATTTTCATATATTGAAAGCGTTAGCTTAGAATACCAAATTTATAAACGTTATCTTAAGTCGAGACAGAACTTAAACGAAATTTCAAGTATGTAGCCGAAATTTAGCATGTTACTATTAGTAGTGACATAATAATAATTAAATAAGTGTTGAAACATTAGTCTACATGTGCTTGTTAAAAACCAGTCTAAATAATTGGTCTTTACGAGACCTTCCACTTTACAATATTAGTGAGTCCTTAAAAACCTATAACAAAACACTGGACAGAGAAGATTATTTAAAACATTAAATAAATAAAAGTCCTCACTTTTTGTAACAAACTTATAAGCTGACATTAGGCCTATATTGTAAACGTACATTATAGAACAAGTTTTATGCTTAATAATAAACTTGCACTTATCAATAAGCTACCAAGACCAGCACAAAGGTTTTGACCTTTTAAACTTCGCTTTAACCTTACTTCATATAACAAATTTCAAGGCAATCTATTAAGAAATACACGAGATATAAAATATCAAATTTTGATTGAGTTTCTTCCTATTTTTTTTTCTTTGTAGCGAAAGTACAGAAACGTTATTTGCTAAAAAAAAACATACTTAACTTTTATGGATTTTTTCAAATTGTGTACACTGATAGACCTTTATAACCTACAATTAGGTATCAAATTTGGTATAAATATAAGCGAGATGTGTAAAGTTATTCAGAAAATAATTGCTCAATTTTGACCAAAATTTTTGCGCACGCCTACGCAAAAAGTCACATGAGCTATCGGTTTACAATTTTTACTACAGCTTCACCTAAGAGTAAAAGTAATTCGGATTAAAGATAGCCGACTTAGAGGAGCAAAACTATAGGGTGAAAGCACGCGCAGATACATAAATATTGGTTAGGCCAAGCAAACTAAATTAGCAATTTCTAACTCAAGATTTGTAAATAATCATCTGGGTGGACGGTTATTATTCATTGCCAAATCTTAAGCACAAATTTGCTAAATTTTATGAATTTCTCCTAATTAAAGAGTGCTTAGTGTCACGTGATATTAGTCAAAGCAATTAGCGTAAATAATGTTGCTTGATACGGCTGTACTGAGTGCATGTGAGTGATGACAAGAAACTGTTAATCTAGATTCCATGGTGTTACTATAAAGGAAGTTATTAACGCTGATTTAGATAGGAAAACTACCACCATATATTCTAAAGAATCTGGTTGGTTCTGTAAAGTATAGGTCTATTGCGATCCAAGAGGTTGTGATCTTAAAGCTAATGTTACTATTTGGTTACTATCGAGTGTCATTTTCATGCTTGCTGTGGTTTGTCGGTGTGTATTGACAAAACGTCATTATATCTAATTAAAAACACCTTAGGTGTGAAAAAAAAGGTGCGGCCAAAAATGGATTGAGCGTGCGACTTGAGGGAATGAAATAAAAATTGGCGGCCAAACTGTTAGCTACAATTATAACATTGATAATAATTTTACAGGAAATATTCATTCACGTTTATTGTTCAACTTGAAGCATGATAGTGAGTAAAACAAAATATGCGATATAGGTAAATAATGAATGAATATTTGCTGTAAAATTCCTATCAATGGTATAAGTGTATCTACCAGTTCGGCCGCTAGTTTTGTTTTGTTCTTTTAATTCACGCTCTAATTTCTTTCTTTTTTTCACACCTAAGGTGTTTTTAATTATATATATATACACGACAGTCGAAACTATAGAAACAATATGAAGAGAAATGAAAACAAACATGTTATATTATTCAGTTTTGGACATAAATTACTAGATAAAACCAACATGTTAAAGCTAGAGCATGAGGATAGGAATCTAAACTTGTTGGTTTTACCTTATTGTATATAATATGTGACTTCATTTTCGTCCTTCTGTAATATTTAGTTTTTATATTACTATAAAATAGCGGACGAAAACATGTAATATTCTTATCTCTATGTGATCACTTGACGTAAACTTCAGTAGTTAAAACGAATATCGTTAACAAGATATTATTTCCCTATGTTTATCATCAGAAGTTGAATTTAAAACAAAAATTACCAATTTAGAATCGCTTTCTTGTAGACTTCACCCTTTTTTTGCAGTACAGTTTTTAAATTTCACCAAACGTTCCAGTTCGTAGATAGGGCATACTTTTCTAGCTCAAATACACCGTGATAACTAATAGTACAAAAATTGTAGAAGAAATGTTGTACCTAAAGATAAATTGATGTTCAGCTGTATAAAGTATTAGTGGTTCTACGATTAGCCTGAAGGCTTATAACACTGACAACCGGGCTTCGATACCCGTGCTGGGCACGAAACAGATAGTTCATTGTGTAGCTTTGTGCTAAACAACAGACAAGGTAAACATAAAACTGTAGGTGCGAATGAGACAGTATTCAAAAATTAATATTAATAACTTATAAATCCATTCGTTTATTAAGTGCTTCATCATTCCAACTAATATACATTTTTACTTTGTTCAATTTTATGTAATTTGTGTTTTAGCAATAAAAGTACTTGAAATGAAACTTCTCTTTCTTTCTCTCTCTCTGTCTGTCTACATATATATGTAGCCTACTAAAAACTAGAAAAACACCTACTCTAGTAGGATTGCCATTTTATTAAATAAACAAATCATGAAACAAAGAGTATAAGATCAATTAAATGATCTACCTTTTGTAGTGTTAAGACAGAAACACAGTTATATATTGTACACTATCCTACCAAAAGTCGTGGGACACGGGTAGTTATGTATAAAACATGTCTTTATTCCAAGAAATTAACAGTGTGTTGCTTGCCTTTGGCCTTAATGACTGCTTCAATACGTAGTGGAAGACTGTTTACTAATTTCTGGTAGAAAGCTGGTGGTATTGTGCTCCACTTTTCCTTTAAAGCATTAGTAAGCTCCACTACTGAAAACGGCCGTCTTGTCCATCCCCTAATTCTGCGTTCCAGTTCATCCCAAAGATGCTCTATCGGGTTGAGGTCGGGGCTCTGTGCTGGCCACTGCAATGTTATTCTTTTCAAACCACGCGTTCACAATCCTTGCTTTGTGACATGGAGCGTTATCATGCTGGAAGGTGTAAGGGCTGATACCATAAAATTGTCACAATGTAGGACACACAGAATTGTTCAGAACGTCAGTGTAGGACTCAAAATTCACGGATCCATGCGCTGCGACCAGTAGATCTAGTCCATACCACGAGAAGCACCCCCCAGAACATGATGCCGCCACCTCCAAACTTCACTGTTAGGACAACATACTCAGATAATAAGCGTTCTCTAGGCATCCTCTATACCCAAACACATCCATCAGAGTGGAAGAGCGTGTAGCGTGACTCGTCGCTCCACAGGACCAATTTCCATTGATCCACGGTCCAGGTTCGGTGTGCTTTGCCCCATGCCAATCGACGATGTGCATTTGTTTTTGTTATCAACGGCTTGTAGGCTGCAGTTCTTCCGTGAAAATTCATGGAATGCTGTTCTCGATGTGTCGTGGAAACACTTATAGCATTGCATGTAGCTGCTCGCATCTCCAAACACAGATTCTCTAGGGTCTGACGCCGAGATGACGTAACCAGTCTTCTCAAGGCTCGTAGGCTCCTGTCAGTCAGTATTTTACACTTAACTGATCGTTTCATGGGCTCATTGTCACCTGTGGACTTCCATCTCTTCAGCGCGTTGCCAGTTGTCGACCTGGTAATGTTTAATTGTTGCGCAATAGCAGGTACAGACATTTTCCTCAAATGACATTCAACTATCCTTCCCCTCTGAAACTCTGTTAGCTCTTTCCGTGTACTCATCGTTCGGCGTACAAGTTCGAAATGACTTCTGAGCGAACCGCTGATCACCTTTATAGGCCAAACTATTTGCATATTTTGTCGTCACACCCATTTTCCTGCAATAAGAGGTGTGTCCCATGACTTTTGTTGGAATAATGTATTTATAATACCTGAAATCCGGACCTATGGAATTGCATACCACTCCTCAGGAAGATGTAGGATGAAAGTATTCACAGAAATTGGTTTCTAAAGACACTTTTATAGAACATATGGACCACACATACTTAAAATGGTTTTTATCCACTGATCTGCCTTCCGAGGGAGAGCAGTAGTGCCCTAATCTTCAAGCC